TGAGACCCCACCATTACCACCTGAGACCCACCACTACCACCTGAGACCCACCACTACCACCTGGAGACCCCCACACCACCTGAGACCCACCACTACCACCTGAGACCACCACCACCACCTGAGACCCCACCACACCACCTGAGACCCCACCATTCCACCTGATGACCCACCATCACTACCACCTGAGACCCAACAACTACCACCTAAGACACACCACTCACCTGAGACCCCACCATCCTACCTGAGATCCCACTACTACCACCTGAGAGACCCCACCATTACCACCTGAGACCCCACCACTACCACCTGAGACTCCACATACCTGTCACTTCCAGACTCCACCTGTAGACCCACAACTACCAATTCCAACTGAGACCCACCACTACCACCTGAGACCCCACCATCACCACCTGAGACCCCACCATCACCTGAGACCCAACACTACCACCTGAGACTCCAAATTCCTCCGACCCACCATACTACCATGAGACCCCACCACTACCACCTGAGATCCTACCTACCACTGCCCACCTCTGAGACCCCACCACTAACATGAGACCCACCACTACCACCTGAGACCCCACCACTACCTGAGACCCCACCACTACCACCTGAGACCCCACCCCACCTGAGACCCACCACAACCTCACCCCTGAGACCCACCTGCCCATCCACTCCTGAGACCCACCACTACCACCTGAGCACCCCACATCACCTGTGAGACCCCACCATCACCACCCTGCACCCACCACTACCACCTGAGACCCACCACCACCACCCGGAGACCCACCACTACCACCTGAGACCCCAACCACCACCACCTGAGACCCCCCACTACCACCTGAGACCCCACAACCACCTCACCACTGCCACATCACTACAACCGAAGACCCACCACTACCACCTGAGACCACCACTACCACCTGTGACCCAACCACTACCACCTGAGACCCACCACTACCACCTGAGACCCCACCACTACCACCTGACACCCCACCATCACCACCTAAGCCCCACCACTACCACCTGAGACCTCACCACTACCACCTGAGACCAACCACTACCACCTGAGACCCCACCACAACCACCTGAGACCCCACTATTACCACCTGAGAACCCACCACTACCACCTGAGACCCCACAACTACCACCTAAGACACATCACTACCACCTGAGACCCCACCATTACCTCCTGAGAACCCACCACTACCACCTGAGACCCCACCATTACCTCCTGAGAACCCACCACTACCACCTGACACCCCACCATCACCACCTGATACCCCACAATCACCACCTGAGATCCCACTCGAATGAAACGAGCCTAAACATCTGGGAGTTCCGGGGGGCGCTGTAAGCCGTCCGGGAAAATTGTGAAATTTGAACACTTCTTTGGAGAATTTTGAAGCCATATGCAGTTATATTGAGGAAATTAGAACATTGAGAAATTTTTAATTAACTGTATATTTATTGATAGTGTGCAAATTCCCAACATACACACACACACACACAAAAGTGAGACATGACTGGAGTCATTCATGTGGTTTCAAGTCACCAGCCCTGATATAGCTACTACGGCACATGTAAAAAATAAACATGAATTTTAAAGAATGAAAATAAAAATAATCCAAATGAATAAACAAATAAATAAAATATTGTAATATGTGGAGGCCCCCAGATTGTGGAAGCCCCAGGGCAGCTGCCCACTTTGCCCACTCCTGAATCAGGCTCTGGATGCGTGCCCCAATCACATCCAATACGTCATATGACGTCACCGATAACGCAACACCGACATACTGAGCAATCTTGCAATCTTACTTGCGCTACTTACCCTAGCATGGCGGGAGATGGCAGGAGGTTTGAATCCAAAAATGGTGAGGTGCGGCTGAACCGCCAGATGCTTTCCGCGTAATTGACTAAATTTACCGCGTAAATCAACCATTTCAATTCTGGCAAGGCACAGCGTAAATGACCAAATACGTAAACCAAAACCGCATAAATCCAGACTCAACTGTATACACACACACACACACCTATATATATATATATATATATATATATATATATATATATATATATATATATATATATATATATATATATATATATATATATATATATATATATATATATATATATATAGTATATATATCATATATATATATAGAGATATATATATATATATATATATATATATATATATATATATATATATATATATATATATATATCAAAATTCTGTGATAATTTTAAACACAGCGACCATTAGATACTGAGTCTGCCCGAGGGAAGACAACGCACGCAGTGAGAGTTTTGAACTAGCCTATACGATATTAAATGTAATTTTACCGAATTAAAATGGAGGCGAATTGGAAATTAAATATCAGTTATTAAATTCAAAGTAATCATAGATCGTTTCCCAGTTTGAAAATGTTATATTCTACTAATAAGCTGTTAATCGTCTGGTAAATAAGTCACTCCTGAAGAACGTGAACGCGGAGAAAGCTGGCTTGGGAATTGTGAGAGGGTCAAGCTAGCAGACCATCTCTGCTCTGTACCCAGGAGACGGATCGCGACCTGGTCCTTCGTATTTAAACATCAGTATTAACAATTGTTTTATCTAACTCTAAGCTTGATAGTAGAACAAACGGTGATGAGAGACCAGCTAACAGCCGGGTTTTTCAGGGTTCTGTAGACCCAGTATGATAACGTCCACTGGCGGTATGAGACAAGAGGTGAAGCGAGCTGTATGACCGTCCACTGACCTGGGTTTGAGCCACCTGTTGAGTATGGTGAGAGTTGGGAAACCAGCTGTCTGGGTGCCCAACTAACAACGTGACGATCGTTTGGGGATCAGCCCTCCTCTGCCTCACACACCACACACATCTTCAAGCAGCTTAGTGACAACCTTTTACAATGGAAGCTAAAGCTTTCAACTGTACAAGGTCTGATCATTCTTCCTTCTCATGGATGTACTGTGCTGGCCAGCTGAGGAATACAGGGCCACACACTAGGAGTCTAGTGGAACTTAGGGTACATTTTCCAAGAATGAGAAAGGCTGGTTTGGGCCTTAAACTACGGTGCCTGTTGGTTGTGCCTAAAACTACGGAGTGCAGGTGGAATCTAGTGTTAGGTTAAAGCATGGTTCACGGTATTGAACACAGTAACTTAATAATAGTGATAATATTTTTGTGTGTAGTTAATACTATTTTTTCAGTTACTGATATTGTCTTGCTGTGTGTAGTTAATATTTCTTAAATAATTTTAATAGTATTGTTTTTAATGTTTGTGTCAGTAATTGAAACCAGAGAATGAGGGAACTGTTTTTCAGATGAGTTTTCTTCCTTCTGTTGCAAGTGATACTGTGATTTAGTTCCTTTAATGCATTTAATATTACTTTATAATTTCAATTTCAGGTATAACCTTTGTTCCCTGCAGTAGTGTTTAAGTTAGGTTAGGAGGTGTGCATCTGTTGGGGTAATATTATTTTATTGAGTGCCACCATGGATTGAATAATTTCTTATTTTATTACCATTTTCTCAGTGGTTGATATTATTTTGGTGAAAGCTCTTAAGGCCTGTTTCATGTGCAAAACATTTCTTAATACAGTACTTTGAATTTATTGTTGTCTAATGAGGCATTGTCTGAGTTTCTAATAATTTCAAGTCATGTATAACTTTTATTCCCAGAGTAGTGTTTTGTTCAGGTTAAGAGGTAGTGCCATATGTTGGTGTACCATTATTTGATTGTGTCTAGTGTTGGAGGGAATAGAAGTGTCTAAATTTTACAGTGTGTCTTCATCCCAATCACAGACCCTATCCTTCCACGGGTCACGAAGAATTCATTCTTGTTAGTAAATTTAAGTGTTCGTGTGGTTCGGGTTTTTTCCAAGGCTTCCAATACCTTACCATCTAATAATATTTAATAAACCCCAAGTCAAGGAGAAATTAAAGTCCATCAATTTCCGACCGGTCGGTCCTCCCTCCCCATCCCCACCAACCGTCCCAAGGAGACGGGATAACCTACTAAATTTTAATAAAATACCAAACTAAAGTTAGGATAATATAATTGACATTGCTGGGTTCCTTGTAAGACCAGGAATATTTTGAATATAAATGTCATATATTTTGCACAAAGATAACATAGTTACCTAGAGAAAATTTTTATCTAAAATTGTATGTTTAATGCAAAATATATGATGTTTATATTCAAATGATCACCAAATTATAAGAATTCCAGCAATAAAATTATATTCTGGGTAATGGATGAATTTTATGAGCTAAAACAGGCAGTCAGGCAGGTGTATGGTGGGCAAATCAAAATAGCGCCTTTGAAATGAACTCACGACACTCACTGCGTATATGTGGAAAAAAACTGTTAAGTAAAGTTCAGCTTCGTGAGGCACGCGTATATGATAAAACGCTATATGAAACCATTAGTGTAATACTGTATATATATATATATATATATATATATATATATATATATATATATATATATATATATATATATATATATATATATATATATATATATATATAAATAAACTAAAAACAAAAATTATACATAAATAAAATATATAAATGTTAAAGTGATAACCGTGGTAACATTACAAGATGCTCTTATTACCGCCATGCTATTGTACTATTCCAGATGACACTAAATGTTACATAATACTTCCTTAAGATAAATGTATAGTATATATCAGGTGCCTCAAAGAGAGCTCAGGTTCTCAACTGGCTCACCCATGTAAATATTGTTATTATTATCCACTCTATATCTGTATTTTTCTGGCTAAATAAACTGTTTCAATTCAATTCAATTGAAGAAACTAGTAAGCAACGGAGTTAAACCTTTCATTAGAGCATTAGATGCATCCACTAGTCATGAAGTTCATTATACCCACTGCATCATCCTAAACTTTAGTACATAAAGGATTGATTAATGGCTAAAATATGATTTGTTTTTAAAACTATTATGGGGGTCTCAAAGAACTACACTCAGGTTTTGCTTTTTATTTTAGATGTAGTGTATTGCAGTGAGCTGTTAGTGACTGTGTGATAATCCAAAACAAACTGTAAAATAACAAAATATTTTACATAGTACAGTGCAGTATATAACAAAGGACAGTATTTACAAATCATCTTATTTCTTACTGTAATTGTGGGGTAAAATTATCAATGAAAATATTTGTAAATAAATAAATTTTATTACACTGACAAAAATTAAGATGACAATTGTACAATATATACAGCAGAATATTTACAGAACAATGTAAGAAGATAAGAAAGGAATAAAGAGTATAACTGATGCAACCTTCAAGTTGTACTAAGATACACACAATATCTGTCAGATGGTTCTCTGTATTTACAACAACCATCTTGCTTTCAATTACAGTACGGTACTTGTAACGATCATTGTACAATAGCAACCAATACTTGGGACTACTATCTTGGCTTCACACAACTGTACTAGCAGCAATTCTATATTATTAATACCCAGTGTATTAATCATAGGTACCACTAGTTGCAGGAGCTTTTACTCATCAATAATGTAACAACAACTGGTTTCATCATGAAGAATAACACAAACGAACATAGGAAACATTCAGATGGAAGTGACCACAGCTCTGGGCGCACATAACGGAGAGCCACAACAGTACTGTATTTGTTACAAAACTGATATGGAAATCCAGCTTATATTATAAAAATGGAGATGCAAGTATAGAATCAAAGCCTTAATCTGTGTTGAGCTGGGCACCAAGAAAAGTTTAAGCTGTAGGGATATGAGGATGTAAATGCCATAGTCTTGTGGCAATATCTTATAACCATATATATTCACTCTGATGGCAAAAATAGAACTATTAAACTATGTTGTGCCAACTCTTTTGCCCTAGCAACATTTTGTTATACTAGGCTAACCCAGGCAATCTAGATCCATGCCAAGAATTCTTCAAGCATGTAAAGACTTAAGTGTTGATTGTTACACATGTGCCAAGAGACACTCTGCACTAACCATCTAGTATTGATAATCTTGACGTACAACAGGTCAATATCCGGAAGTATATAGGCAGTGCACTCTAAATCTACAACCAACCAGTTTCTAATATGACAGCATTATTGAGATGAAATAATGATATATACATAAAAAATTGGTACACTCTGTAGTTAATGCCACTAATATTTTTGAACACTAGATGTCATTAGTCCTGTGCTAGGCAGAGATACATTGTAGTTTACAAAAAAATACCAACATACAAATGATTCTTACCATTTTTTCTGAGCATGATCAGTCTGAATACTGTAGCTACTGTGTACAGTACTTGTACAATAGTGTATTTAAAATCCAGTTTCCTTAAAATGATATAATTTTTCTATACAAAAGAATATTTCTTTTTCATATCTAATTAGCATTAATATAACAGATGAACCATGAAAACAAATTATTTTAAAGGTGATAATGTAAAATTATTTCAAATTTGTTTAACAGTATGAGATATATTTTTACCTCAATAATTTTTCATAACTAATGGACCCTCATATTCCACTTTAAAGTTCCCCACATCATATTAGTTTATAGAACTTTTTAACTGTGACTCTACCTGGTACTGTACAGAGATCTTCATAGAGCACATAGAAAATCAAACGGTTTTATACCTACAGCAAGTACGTATGTAGCTGGCCAGGACTTCAGTCACAAAAAAAGTGTATGAAGCTTCAAAGGGCACTGCCTAAATCACTGTTCCTGAGCAGTCATGTTGGACCACTCAATTCAAATTGAATCAAAGAATTAAATCTGCCAATTTTTTTGAAACATGAATACAGTATGCAGTACAATGAGGTACTGCAGGCTTCCTAATTTGCCCTTAAACAAAGTTTTCCTCTCCTCCCACTGTTTCAGCTCCAAGCTAACCCCATTATTTGAGATCACAGATAAGACAATCGTACACACACTTTATGAGAGAGAAGTATACTTGAAACACGCACTAATTTTTTGTTACAGCAAGGATACAATATTCCATATCAACATTTTGTAACGTCTTGTGAAAATCTTTCAAGATAGCCAAAAATGTCAAAAATTAGTCTTCAGTACAACTTCTCACTCCACTTTTGTTAATATAAATCTCACCGAGTCTCCTGTCTCTCAATAGATTAAGCCTCGTGGATTCTGAGCACAAAGCACTGTACAGTGCACAGGGTCTGAAATAACCATGGGAGCTCGGTTGTAAGCTTCTCCGAACTGAAATACATAAGCAGGTAAAATCCAAGGCACCATCTTTTCCTGCACCGAGCCCCACACTGTCATTCGCTGGCACTGTCCCTTGCAGCTAACTGCAGCGCTAGAGGAGCAGAGGTATCGTTTCATGGTCCTTTTCCCTCCTCTTGGAAAAAGCTACACAAGGTCAACATGACATCAAAAGCAATGCCTATCACTGGCATCTTTGATCATGTCAACTCCAAAGTTTTTGCAGTCATTCTCAGGTCCCAGGTAAGTGTTTAGAAGAAATTGTCAGCATTGAGGGGATCATTGTCATTGACAGAGACAGGCATGCCAATAGGCACGGGCACCCCACCAATCCTGAGGTCATCCAAGGCACCCCATCCATTGGTGCTCTCTGCTGCACCACTGACCTGCAAAAAAAAATAAAAAAATATATATAAAACAAAAAATTATATATATATATAAAACCTTATATTGTACGATTCTCTTTTAAGTACACAGCACTTATTAAAAGTGTTTTTTTCAGTGATGCTAACGAATTACATCACTTATTTCATGAATGAAAAGAATACTGTACTGTACACGATGACCATTCTGGTTGTTTTGCATATGTCCCCATAAATAGATTGAATAATGCGATTACTAACCCATTATAGCCCCGACCTATTTCTCAAACACTTATCACAATTATATGTCATGGATTAGTTTAGTTGTTTTTTGTATAATTAAGGACCTACAAATAGTACATTTAATACTGAACAAAAACAAAGATATGGAGAAAAACATGTGTGACATGGGCGGATGTTTGCTGTCAGATTACAATGGCTCACGGACAGACTTGTATCAAAAGTTATTTGGGCATGATATGACCCCCTTATTGCCCTAAATTACTGTTCTTGCTGCTGAGTATGATCAAAAATGAATTTTATTAATAACAAAAGGTAAACTGTATTCAAGAGAGAACCTTAACATACATTTTTGGAGCAAATTATATATTTTATTGGTTCAAGTACAAAATATGGACTAATATCACAAAATGCATAAAAAAGAAACTTGCGACATAATGTACAGAATAATAAACAATAATATCCACCTGAGTGGGAAAGGTATGGAAAAATCTAGACAATTTAATTATTTAAACAGTGCTGAAGCTTCCATGTTCACCATTAACAATGAAGTGATTTCAAGTATGATGTAACAGTATTTCTATGCAAAAGTCCAGAAGGCTGAGGTAATCCTTTTTGCAACCGTTTACAGGTAAAACAACCAATTATTGACCACTGCCATGTCCAACATTCATGTGATGAGAGAAGATATTCATGTTCAGGATGCCCATTGTGTTTGTTGTACTGTATATTACATTATGTATAAATAGACTAATTAGAGTCATCATCCAAATTCGGGCAGATTTTTCCTTTCCCCTACGCACTAAAGGAATTTGGACCCTTACGACATTAAATTTACAACCAAGTCAGAAGTACAGTGTACCAATAGTACAGGTAATGCCCCACTACGCTTCGCATCGGCTAAACCACACGTCTCCATGGCTACCAAGGAGAGCATACTACCACCAAGTGTCACTCCACTACTACTTGCTAACTCTCCGTACGTACTAAAGGTAAGTGGAAATTTATCAACTGCGATCACAACTCACAAGACAATTAACCCTCCTTGACCGAAATGTTTTCGTCATCAACTCTTCCTGTATTATTGTTTCAATAACTACAGTAAACGTAATTCATAAACCACATAACTATTACATATCAAGAGAAGGGGGTACATTTCTTTTATTTGGATAACAGGTACTGTAATGTGCCCGAGTAGCCAACCACGCCCACTCTCCACACGGAGAGTATTACCACAACGTAGGCACTACTGTATTATTTCAAATTGCAAAACCGTTGTGTAGTAGCCACTGGGTCTATTATGTCGACGTACTATAAATGTACTGAGCATTCGCATATAAGTGATCAAGGCTAAAGCAAGTGTTAATCACGTGGTTACCCTCTAAGTCGCTACACATCACGAACCAGTCGATACCCTTATACATGAATATACGACTTCACACATGTTAAATTTAATAATACTATATGTATAGTAATTTAATATTCACACAACAAAACAAACACGTTATCCTTGGTTACCTTTGCATAAAGGCTGCCTCTAGCATCTGCCATATATTATGCATAGAACCTTTATAACATTGTATATTATACAACTACTCTGTAGTAGCTAGAAGCAGCAAACTAGTGCAGTTACGTTACCATAATTATATCCTGCCATACAAGGACGGGTGTCAATTATTCTTAATTATTCGGCTCTGAAAATTATCACATATTTGTCCCTAAATTATACAAAAACGAACATCTTCATTTGTTTGCGGTCTTCATAAACTAATCATGTATGTCACAACAAGAATTCCAAAGGTGGGATTTAGGGTAAATTCCATCAAAATATTCTTTGTTATGGAGGAATTCCCGTCACTGGAATGTCTACGTGACGCTCGAGCTCCAGCCAGACACGCTGGCACCCGGCGCCCAATGTTGCCACATCCCCCACGCTGTATATGAAATTTTTTACTAATACTAATAACTCTATAATACAAAACCACAGATCAAGAATTATAAATGATTTTTTGTCTTTTATATGAAAAACAAAACATTAAATATTTGTTGTTACAGATAACGCTAAAAGATGATGAAGCGGCACCACTGGTAGCGGGAATTCCAGAACACTAGCGTGCCACGAGCTCGTCTGGAATGTGTGCCAGTCAACCCTGCACTCTGACAAAGAAACTTCTCCCAACAAAACAGTTGTAAAATTCCAGTACTGTACATTTTGCTACAAAAGCAAATTATTTATATATCATGTGTTTGACATCACTATACCATATGTACTCACATCTGTCTAGAGTCTAGATAAAAAATAAGGCCACACAAAGACTGGTTACATAAGCTATAGGCTACTGATTAAGTTACATTATTAAAAAAATCGAACCTAACTTCGTGTTTTCTTCTTTCCTTGTGGTTATCAGCATATACCTAGATCACGCGCACCTACAGTGATTTACTTGCATATATATATATATATATATATATATATATATATATATATATATATATATATATATATATATATATATATATATATATATATATATATATATTATCACCAGGATTCAAATGATCTCTTATCTGTCTATCCCCTAGTTCTATCTCCCTCCACATACACACATAGGCTACTGTAACTCTCATTATCCCCTCCCGCCTGCGATCAACTGTAGTTTGAGTGGAAATTCCCCAGTTACCAATACACCGCGTGGTTCTTCTTCCATGATTGACAAGTCAGATTTAAATTTCATGTTATAGAAGCAGGAAGTTCCCCACAACACGCGAGTCAGATGAGGAACTCCAAATTGATGAGTGCATGACTACGCTCTTGTATCACTGCTGTTGAACGAAACTAACCTCAAACTGACTACTACCAACTATAAAAGCCACTGTCATATTATCCATCAAGTTATTGTTTTAGATCTGGGTAGTACGTACAGTATGCTAGAGTTACTAGGCTCTGAGTAACTTTGTGTGTGTGTAGGGGGGGGAGCAACAATTTCTCAAGAATTTGCGTCAGCCATATTTTGTCGAGTTATTTATATACCGAGATCAACAATAAATAAGTAACCGAGTAGTGTAAATAAACAGTTTAAAATTTCAACATACGACCGTTGCTTAAACCTTAATAGCAATAAAAGTTTTCTTATTTTATCGCATTTCAATACTAAACAATGAACCCATTGTATACTCAACATTTTGTATAATAAAAATGGAATAAAACCCTAAATTTATCTAGTTATGTAATACACTACCCCCACAATAATTGTGGGGGAGCCGCCTGGTCTGTTTTGTACTCACTTTCTGTTCTCAAGGGATCAAACGTTGAATATTCTACACGAGTGACTATGTAACAATAAACTTAACTGACTTAACTAAAACACAAAAATAGCACCAAATTTGCAGGTGGACTGAATGAGCTCAAGCACTAGTTATGACGTAAAATCGTAAATGAAGGTTAATATCTTTTCCAAAGACTCCCTACCTTAATTTTGTCCCTTAATTAGTGAACGTATTTAGTTAACAGCTTCAATAGAATTTTAATGGTACAATATACCAGGAATCACTTGTATGCATGGGAATAAATTCATCAACCAATCACACTCTTGTGCATTATGCAGAAGACCCGACAGCCGCACCCTTAGCCACTACCTCCTAAGATGTCCCCACACACAACGCTTCCGTGACGCCTGCTGGACCACCACTCCACGACCCCCTGACGGAGACATGATGATCCTCCCCATACTGGCCAGATATTATGTAAATAACATTGATTATGTGTTAAAGGAATATCCTTCCTTCCTTAGGCTTTAGTAAGCACCTTTATAATATTTATACTGTATACACTTGTGACACTTGCCAGATGCTTCTGGTGTCATTGTACAGGGGTACCTAGTGACAGCACTAGGATCCCGCTTCCTCTATCAAGGAATAAACAATTGAAATTGAAATTGAAAACTGAACCAATCACAGTGAAGACGAGCCTACTGTAGTGTTGCAACTGTTTACTGCTGTTCCTGCTCAGTATTTCCTGGCAGTGTGAATGAAGGTGTCATTTGTTGGAAATGACCTTCTTCGTGCTTCGTGTCACTCAAATGTATTTCTCACTCATTATAAAATGTGTTCACAGAAAACATCAGTTAATCACATACTCTTCAGGGGAAACAGACTATTAAAAAAATAAAGAGATTGAAAATTATGAGGATTCGGCGAAGACAACAGAAGATTGAAAACATACAACCTTCGTCACTTGGTCATGACACCCGCACCTGCCTCACGACCTGAGTTGAACCACAGAAAACAATTCCTTTTGAACTAAATGAAGATGTAAATACGTGAGTACCATAATATAAACAAAAGATATTACTACTGTACTGAGTTGTCTTAAAATTATTTATTTTCCCAGGAACGTAACCACCATCTACTGCTAAACTTAAGGAGTCTATCGCTCAAAAGGTTCGCCCCTGTTCATGTCAGACAAAGTACTTTAAATCGCTGAAGCACCTAAGCAGGGAGTCCATGACCTGCTTGCCACTTCACACACACACATATATATATATATATATATATATATATATATATATATATATATATATATATATATATATATATATATATATATATATATATATATATATATATATATATATATATATATATATATATATTTTGTTTTATGTGTGTGTGTGTGTGTGTGTTTTACGGGATTAGTCCATCTGGGTGTGAACTGTACTTTTGAGGTCAATTAATATATTTCTTTTTATGTTAGGCCAAGTTTTTCAGTATACGTTTGAAAAACTGACTGCCTGTCAAAGATGTCTTGAGTAACAAACAGCAGCAGCACTCGGATGTGTTACAAAACACACCGAGTTGCTGATTACCAAGTCAGGTTTGCTATGGCACGGTGCTGGCGTATGTTGTATATTTTTTTCCAAGATTTCCTCATTCATACTCGTAACAGATGCTTCTGTATGGCAATGGAATTCAAGATTTTCTAACATTTGCCATTCAAGAATTATACCATCTATCTTTTATTTTCTTAAATAATTGTTGATGACTAGAACATGTATTAAAGTACACACTTACAGACCTTATGTTAAAGCGTGGTAATACGGTAAAACATCAACAACATTGTCTTGTCTATAAAAGTAGACGAATCTCAAATATCAGAGAAGAGAAGTCCCCCTCCGCGCCGCATCGGAATCCAGGAGGTCACGATACCTCTCTCCCCACAAAAAAGTGCGTCGAACCCACCCTGAATCTAGTACAGTGGAGTAATATATTTTCATGCCAAATAAGGTTAAAATCCACTGATATTTGAACCACTGTGTTTATAAAGTCAAACACCCATAAATAGATATACACAGATACCCTCTGAGCACCACAGCCCCAGTCTGAGGTTAGTAGCGCAAGTGAACCTAAACAAGAAGGTTGGTAGCAAGAATTACGTAAGCTAAGACTTGGCTAGTCGGGTTTTTGTGTGTATAAGCGTTTTGTTTATTTTGGTGAATTAGAAATGAATGGTGCTAAAATCCCAAATGATTACTAACTTTGGAGGCTTGGAAGACCCTCAAGAGGACAACAGCATTATTTAATATCACGTTGAGAATCAGCAAACATGAAAAAAAAGGCACAGTTGGTGAAGGTAGCGAACAATGCTAAACTATGTGTCGGCCATAGTGGGTAGAGGCAGTGTTCACGTCCGCCAGCAAATGGCATGTACGTATGTCGGACAGCTGTTTGATGGTGGTGGACAAAAACTCGTTCTTCCAGTTCCTTTATCGACACTATTGCCCTCGCGTGATCACCAAAATACTGGCCAAAAACTTGTGACGTAGGCCCATTAAGTATTTTTTAAAACAGTTCCAAGTACTTTGAACCTCAGTCGCCTCCAATACACATTAAGAGTAGTCGGGTTGATTAGTTATTATAAGTTGTTCGTGTGGGTGTTGGTCCAGCCGTTACATTGTCATCATCTACAAGTGAAAGGATGTTGTCCGCGTGGTCTCTCTCTCTCTCTCTCTCTCTCTCTCTCTCTCTCTCTCTACATTTTAACTTCCTGGGTAGAATGGTTGTAGTATATTCGGAAAATTGAAATATTTGCCTAGATTTGCAGAGATCGTAAGTTTCAAACCATAAAACAAGCAATTAAGAGAAAAACGAGATAATCTTGGGACTGCTTAATGCGACCTTCACGAGATGAATAAGATTAAAGAACAGCGATGAGAACACTGAGCGGGAAAATCCCGTGTTGGCTTGGCAGCCCCGACAAAGCTCTCGATCAGTCGGCTGGAGGACCCGGGTCGAAGGCAGACAAGGTCGTTCGGTGCGTGAGCTTCCGAGGCCTGTAAAAACTTGTTTGGTAACTACGGCCTCCATTGTACGCTATTCTTAGTTGCCGGGGCCTCAGGCGTCTGACCGAATTAGAATTTCGGTTCAAAAACCGCCATTTCTTGACCGCCCATTCATGAGAATTCCAGCGCAGAATCTGGTTGCTGTGAGTCCAACATATATCGTACTTTAGTATAACTTTAGGAGACCTGTCGAAGTCTTACTACACGTGAATAACAAGTTGATTGACGATAAAGCGACTCGCCTCACCTAACCAAACAACATTACAATTTAATTTTACAGTTCAGCGCAATATGTAATCTCTTTAAACCCTAAACATCGTAGGTGGAGTGTGATATGATCTGAGTTTGACTAATAGAGCAGGACCTGAATGAGGTTTCACATCCGCATGACGCCTAATCTGACGATGGACAGGACAGGACATGAGGTGACGTGACAAGGATAACTCACCTCATCATATTCGAGGTCATCGTCAGCCATGAGGTAGAGAGGCAGAGGGTCACTAGGAGCGCCTAACTCCAGAAGCAGTTTGGCTAGTCCCGTGGCACCGTTTGCTAGGGCCAGCTGTAGGGGGAAACAACACAGACACGTGAGACAAATAATTACTAAATGTGTCACAGGTGTTTGCAGCTATGTAATATTGCTACTGAAGGTTGATGCATCTGCTATATAATTATTCCAAGTGTCATATACATAATAACATAAGGAGTCTGCAATAGGCCGGTTAGCCTGTTACAGGTGTCTGCATGTTGCACCTATCACGAATTACAGGTGTCTTATTCGTCATTACAAGTGCTATACAGTATAACAGATGTGTTTCCGTACATTATTCCTGGTGTGTGTAGAATATACCGAGGGTTGTTGAACCTGTCACATTACAGGTGTGAAGTTTATTGGAGTATTGAGCATAGAACAGGTTTGTATGTATTCTTACGGTGTTGATATGTATGTGATTGTAGGTAAATGTTTCCTGTGTTACATTGTGATGGGTGTTGTATGTTGTGTGTGTTTGTTTTAGAATACTGTAGGTGTTGTATATGTCCATTTTTTTATTTTGAGTGTGTGTGTATTTTGTCTACATAGTGTATCCGTACATATGTATGTTGTAGGCACGTGTGTGTGTGTGTGTGTAGGTTCATGTATGTGTGTGTATGTGTTAAACTGTTACTGTGTACATCCCGGACTGACTGACCTGGTAGGGCGTGAAGCCGGCGTAGGTCTCTAGTGTGAAGGAGACTCCGCAAGACTCAGTGAGGAAGGCGACAAGGCTGGCATCTCTGGCCTCTACAGCGTAATGCAGCGCCGTCCGTCCACTCTTGCCTTCCTGTAGGTCGCAACAATACACGTTGATAACGATAGTAAAAAAAAAATAACCTTATCATATCTAATGGAAATGATTAATAATGATAGTATAATAATGATTAATAGCAATAATAATAATACGAGTAAAATAATGAATAATATTAATAACAAAAATCAACAGCAACCTAACTAACCAAGCATAGCCTAACCAAATCTAACCAACCAAGCCTAACCAAATCTAACTCACCAAGCCTAACCAAATCTAAGCAACCAAGCCTAACCAAATCTAACCAACCAAGCCTAACCATACTAAACCAAACCACGATGATCAGGTGTAACTGACTATCCTATCAGAGATACAGGGATACAGTAGCCTCTTTTATACATAAAATAACAAGTCTCATTGCACAGTTAAATTTATCATGGCGCCCTAGACATTCACACAGACCAGGCAAACGTTCCAGCAACGACCTTGACGCCTAGGCTACTGGAGTCCAGTTCAACCACAACACAAACTAACCCCTTGTTGTACAGTATATTGCTTGTATTACAGAAGAACCATTCCCTTCACTTGTTGATGTGTGAGGTCTCCCATAGCGAGGACAGTGTTGCTGTTGTAATATAGTGTAAGCAGTCACGAAATTTTGTAAGACATTATATACATTTTAATGAGATACAATGTATATTGGTTAACGTCATTACTGTATGACCACGAAACCTTAACCCTTGCAGTAAGTTGGGTAACATCATGGCAATGACCGCCCCGTTGTCTCCTCTAACTCACTGACGTCACCTAACCTCGGGTTGTGTAGCCTCGGGGTTGTACAAGATGGTGGTGGAGATGGTGAATATTTTTTTTGTGTTAATAATCTATATTCTCTCAACCTTCCGCACACTGCAGTCGCCCGCGAGCGCCAGGTAGCTGTCCAGGAGCCATTGGGTCCGTGTTTGTGTTGGGGCGGAAGTGGGGGGGAAACTTTTCGTTTGTGGTATAGTTTTTACTGCTGTTGCTTATTCGTTTGTTATGTTCGGGTCTAGCAGGTGTAATATTCAATGACTTCTATTTATTACCCCCACGTGGTGGGAGGAGTTTAGCTGTCAGCTGTAGTATTTCATGGAATTGTCTGTTATTACGGTTCTTGGTGACGTGCAAAATTTCTGGTGTCACTAAAAACATTAATGGTTGGTGTATGCGTGTGTGTGTGTGTGTGTGTGTGTGTGCGCAGGAGTCCGTGCACTACAGTACAACACATTGCAATGGGTAGCGACACCAGGCCACTTACCACACCGTAAAACTGAAACAAAGACCACAAATATAGTTAGTTTTTCTTCTCGTTCAACTTGCTTAGTGTCATCATTCCACGCTTGACCAGTAGTTCATTCATTCGTCAGTAGCCTAGTGTGTTTGTTGAGTCTAGTGGGGGGGGTGGTGGGGTCCAATCATCCAGAGTCTTTTCAAAACGGGAAGCAAGCGTAATCAGTGACTTTATTAATGGTCTTTGGTATCGTGTGTGTGTGTGTACCTTCACGTAACACCAACGTACCTTCATCATTATGCCGGCAGCAGTAAATAGCCTCAGCGAACACAGCGACACACACACACACACCCACCTCCCATATTCAGTGCGCATTTCAAAGCTTAACCGGACCCCTCTCCGTACGCCAAATAAAACTAATGAAAAAACATATAGGTATACAAAGTTCTGTGTTGGCACTGGTAGTCTGAAACGTCTTCGTTTCATTTTTTTAAGAAGATTGCAAACATTACCCAACCTTATTGTGCGAAACAACCTTTTTTCACTGTCTCGGGAGGGTTCTTGTGGTTATTCCTTGTGTGTGGGGGGGTTGCTGTCTGGGTTATTATTTTTTTTTTTATAGGAAATATCTACTGTGTATCTTTAAGACTAGGGGATGTGTTTTGGGGTGAGCGGTGTTGAAGGGTTAGGTGTTGGGAAACCCTTGTGGCTGTGATGGCCGTAGAACTTGTTAGTCCTGCTGCTGCTACTACTACTACTGCTGCCTTTCTTCCTTCTACTGCTGCCCCCCCTACTGCTACTGCTCGCTACTACTCCTACTGTTTATCTTCCTTCTACTGTTCTTCCTCCTACTACTACTACTCCTACTGTTTATCTTCCTTCTACTGTTATTGATGCTCCTCCTACTGCTACTGATTCTAGTGTTTGAGCTTTGATTATTGTCTCTGGTTAACCTGAGTTGACCACCGGTCATTTTCTACGTCACTAATCTTTTCTATCGTTCGTTGTTACTCTCCTGCTAGTCCGTGTCCCTACATGACCTCAACTGACCCGACTACTAAACGAAACTCATCCTCGAACGCTGCGGAATCTCACCCAATATTAAACTTCCGGGTCCATACTCGGATTAAGATACGACACTACAGTAGCCGTAAGGTGTCATAATAAACCACACTTCAAGGATATGTGATAACCTCCCAAGTATAGGTCCAGGTCATGACAGGATCCTACAGTCGCCCTCACGGAACAACACCAGCAGTGACAGACGCAACTCTTCAGGCACAACTCTCGTCATATCAGCTGTAAGACTCGACTTAACGCACACCAATACACAGTACTTCGCTCCCAATTTTTTATACGGCGTGTAGCCTAGCGGGGATAAGCCCCAAGGTGTTAGTTAACTTTTTACCACTTGAGCTAATATCATCCTGGTACTGCTTCACTTGAGAGGATTAACCTATCCCGGACATGCCTGGGAGGGGTGTTTGCTTGCATGCCGGGACGGAACGGGAGCAGCTTGTTGTGCAACATTACTGGTAACTAACTGTCTCTGACGAAAACACGGAGCGAATATCCTGTTGTGTATCACTCCAGTTTACCCCGCTTTTTACACGGCGTTGAACCCGAGGGCTTGTGGCCGGGGGGTTTCTGAGGGGACAAACGTTGGCACTCATCCCGGATTCACACCCTCATTGATATCCGATGTAAGTCAGTACAAGTTATGAGTGTATCAACACCAGTGTATCTCTCTAGTACTGTACATCACAAAGACCTCTTGACCTTGTAGGACTTTCACAGGAGAAAACTTTAATGCATATACTGCACTAAGCCAACAACTTTTCAAGGAAGAAGCGTCGACGCACCACCAAGGATCCTACAAAAGTCACGAGAGGACCACAACGATACATCGTCGGGAATCCTACAAGGGCACAACAAACAGTCAGGGATGCTAAAGACCACAACAACCAGCCAGGGATCCTATATAGCAGCTCTCTGACATGTCCCCATTGATCCAACACATGCAAAAGTCCTCCAGGATACTCACTCTGGCGTTGATATCGGCGCCGTACCAAGTAAGATGTTGAAGAATCTCCTTGTGTCCGCCCAGGGCCGCTACGTGTATACATGTCTGACCTGAGAAGAAACAAGAGAAAAGTTATCAGCTGGTCTAATGTAAACAGACATACGCCATCAGCTGTTCAAATAGTAGTAATGTTTCTCCCTCCTTAAGTACAAAACAATTGATAACCTTGACAGACCTACACCTGTATTGTATCTTCTGAATAAAAAATGGAAGTTTTATCAAGTGTTCAATATAATTAACTCTTTCACCGAGTGTCATGCACTTGCCATTTTATTCTGGCTACCACCAGACCATTTTGTTCAGCTTAAGGTAACCTCCCGCTGTGAAGGGTTAACAAAACATAAAATGACAATAGTAACAATTCAACTATCAGCTGTTTACCGTAATTATCAGCTGTTTACCGTAATTATCAGCTGTTTACCGTAATTATCAGCTGTTTACCGTAATTATTAGCTGTTTACCGTAATTATCAGCTGTTTACCGTAATTATTAGCTGTTTACCGTAATTATCAGCTGTTTACCGTAATTATCAGCTGTTTACCGTAATTATCAGCTGTTTACCGTAATTATCAGCTGTTTACCGCAAATTATCATCTGTTTACCGTAATCATCATCTGTTTACCGTAATTATCAGCTGTCTACCGCAAACTATCAGCTGTCCACCGCAAATTATCAACTGTTTACCGTAATCATCAGTTGTTTACCGTAATTATCAGCTGTTTACCTCAAATTATCAGCTGTCCACCGCAAATTATCAGCTGTCTACCGCAAATTAACAGCTGCAAACCATAAAGAATCCCACTTTAGTATAATTGGTAAGGTCAAGTCAAACACTACACCATAAGATAAACAAAAGAAACAACCTCATGACGGAGGAGGTGCTCTCGTCTTATTACACACACACACACACACACACACACACACACACACACACACACACACACAGAGTATTCGGGAATTAAATAAAGAGGAGGTGGATGAAGGAAGGGGGAAGAAAGGTAGAATATGAAGGAAATGAAACGACTACAATATACAAGATGATAAAGTAGTAGAAAGAGGGGGAATGAGCAGATAAAGAGGGAGGAGGTGGAGGGTCATAATCAGCAGTAAAAGTTTCTCACTGCCTTATCAATCATTCCCTCCCTCCTTATTTCCTTCTCTCACTCTCTCCTTCCCTATTCTCCTTCTGTCCCTCCACCCCTCCTTCTTTCCTACCCTCCCTCTCCCCTTATCTTCCTCCTTCTCTTCTCCCCTTTTCTGCTTACTACCCAAATTTCCTTCCCTTTCCTCTCTCCCCCTTTCCTTCTAACTCCCTTTCCCTCCTTTCCTCCATTACGTCACTCCGGGAAAGTACGCATATTCGTCAGGAACCGTAATATACCGTACACTGTAACATGGGACAGGAAGTGTTATGCAACCTGGGGAACGGGAGCAGAGTCATCCTCTCTTGCTTTCTCATACTACACCCAACAAACACAAATTATTATTATTAAAGAAAACGTCAATACGATATACGTTTTCTTTTGATAAATGTTTTTATTGCGATACTTTTTGTCTTTGTTTTAACACTTAGGTCAGAGGAATTCCTTTTCTTTCTGATCCTCCGCGTCGTCCGGGTTCAGTGTGCGTATGCGCGCGCGCAACTACGGGTACGTCGACCAGACCAGAGAGAGAGCGTTCAGTCTGTCAGCTGGCGGGGTTTCCAAGGTTTCTGGAATTACCAACTTCCAGATAACTGACCTACAGAAGTATGGAAGGCGAAGACCCCGCTGGAAATTCCACGCGCGGCGGCTGTGCGTGTGTGTGTGTGTGTGGTGAGAGACAAAGAGAAAAAGTCTTGAAACACCGCAAACAACACACACACACACACACACACACACACACACACACACACACACACACACACTCTCTTAAAACAAAGATTTTGAACACGAGAAACGTATAACAATTGCAGAAAATTTTATCCATATAACAACAAGGAGTATTTTCAAAGCTTTTAAATGCCATCTGCGGGTTAGGTTAAGTCAAGTTAGGTTAGGTCAGTTCTGGTAGGTTATGTTAGGTTAGGTTATGTTATGTCAAGTTTGGTTAGGTCAGGTTAGGTCAAGTCTGGTTAGATCAGGTTAGGTTAGATCAAGTTTGGTTAGGTTGGTCAGTCGGTCTAGCTAACTACACAAAGATGAAAACTGTTCTACAGTATATGAGTGAATCATTGCTCTGGATTAAACCGCTAGAAGGACACGTTTTTATCACTATCATTCATTATTGTCATCCTCATAATCACCATTATCTCCACCTTCATTATCTCCATCATCATTCTGTATCATCAAAGTAAAGGACTTCCTTATATGCGTTCCACAACCTTCCCTCTCAAACACTTATTTGACCACTCACTACCTCATAAGGGACTTCCTGGTTCCCCCTCCCCATCTCCTCTCCTCTCAGCAGTTACTTTGTGTACAAGAACATATATGGTCATGTTCACTGCTTGATGCTGCTGGTGGTGGTAGTGCCAAGTTGAGTGCCAAGTACCAATACAGCTGATTCATGACCCTCACGCTTCACTACCTTGTTTTCAGTATTATAACAGTTCCCTAGTGTGGCTCTTTACTGCTCTGTGAGAGAGTCCAGTTCACGAGATGTGAGTGGTATGGCGTGTACAGTATGCTGCTGTATGAAGAAGGGGGCGGGGTACAGAATGCGGGTGTGAGGGGTGGAGTGTAGGTGTGTGTGTGTGTGTGTGCGGGTTGCCAACCTTGCGAGCCTTCCACGAGGGGTTTTCCTTGATCGCTCTCGCCAGACCCGTGACACACACACACACACACACACACACACACACACACACACCCAAAAATAACACCACACACAAATAAACGACCAAGGAAGGTATTTATCCCAACTCTCTCGTCTGATCTGAGGCTTATAGCTTTGTTTTCTTGTGGTGATGTTGCTACTGCTGTCTCTGATGCTGTTTATGTTGTTGTTATTGTTGTTGTTAATGGTGCAATTGCTGCTGTTACTCCCATCACTGCACTGCTATCCTCTCTCCTCCTCCTCCTTTCGACCCACATACCCTCCCTCACTATATCCTCGCAAGTATGAGATTTCCTCCTACCTTGTGGCCTCCTTTGACCCCTCCTGCTGCGAGGTCACAGTAATGAGGACAGCCGATGGGATGAGGGTAGAGGAGGGCACTAATAAGGGTGGGTGGAAGAGGAGGAGGAAGAGGGTGGAGGAGAATGACACTAGCAGGTCATGTGCTCTCTTGGCCGTCATTCAGTGACGTAACAACTCGGCCCCCTCCAAGCCCCTTCCCTCCTCCCTTTCCATGCCCATAAGGCCACACCAAGACACTCTCCACCCTGACACTACAACGGTTCACAAGATACATCTACTTCCCGTCGCTAGAGATTACAGACTTCCTCTAGTTACGGTACAGTCACGAGAGTAATTTCACCGCCATATTTGTTCGTCGCGTTAAGTGCAGTATTGACTCGATTAAGAGGTCATATAAGGGGTTCAAACGTGTCACGGTGCAGTTATGAAGGCTAATGTCGCAAGAGATGCTATTAGTGTGAGTATCTACAAAAATTTACATTTTTAGGGCTAGGTCGGGTTAGGTTAGGTTAGGTTAGGGACTTACCTTAAAGATTCCTAGTTTAGCAAGACACATTAGTTATTTTATGTTTCCAAAGTAGGCGCCCTAGTACGGTAACTTCTCCTGTAATACATAACACCGTATAATGCCACACCTGACCAGATGATCTCACAACAGCTCCCCAACAGAAAAGATGAACTTAACATACGTGACTTTGAGAATGTGGGGGACAGGCCAACAATCTTTATCTCAAGGTCCATCAGTATCTTATCTCTCACTCACTCTCTGTATATAATCATAGGATGTTTAGTTACCAGGGCATATGTTTAAGTTTTGTCGCATCATGAAGTGTTCAGTCACATACGGATTAATGGATGTTCGTGACAGCCCATTGTTTGTAACGATTATATTGGTTAAATGAAATCATTAACATCATTTCGTTGTTTATTATTATTATTATTATTATTATTATTATTATTATTATTATTATTATTATTATTATTATTATTATTATTATTATTGTTATTACGTAGGTTCGCTCGAGATCTTCCAAACACTGAATCTAATGTCCTCAGGATAGCTTTCTTCTCCTTCACCACCAACACACGATGGTGGTAGGTGAGTGTCACGACGGTGGTAGGTGAGTGTCACGATGGTGGTAGGTGAGTGTCACGATGGTGGTAGGTGAGTGTCACGATGGTGGTAGGTGAGTGTCACGACGGTGGTAGGTGAGGTCACGACGGTGGTAGGTGAGTGTCACGACGGTGGTAGGTGAGTGTCACGACGGTAGGTGAGTGTCACGACGGTGGAGGTGAGTGTCACGACGGTGGTAGGTGAGTGTCGACGGTGGTAGGTGAGTGTCACGACGGTGGTAGGTGAGTGTCACGATGGTGGTAGGTGAGTGTCACGACGGTGGTAGGTGAGTGTCACGACGGTGGTAGGTGAGTGTCACGACGGTGGTAGGTGAGTGTCACGATGGTGGTAGGTAAGTGTCACGATGGTGGTAGGTGGGTGTTACGATGGTGGTAGGTGAGTGTGACGGTGGTGGTAGATAAGTAACGGTGCAGAGGTGATAGAACATAATGGTGCCATGAGTGCACCAAGTTTATGGACAAGTGTAGTAGGTTTCAATGACTCCACTTCTTCCCTTTAAAGACCCCCAAGACATCATGTTCGAGTGCGATATTGAAACTCTCTCTCTCTCTTTTTTCTCTTCTTTTCTCTCTCTCTCACACCCACACCATAATAATTAAGTGCCATGAGGTGGGGAGGGAGAGGGAGGAAAATAACCTCATTTCTCGAAATATCAGATAAGAGAGCGAGATGTGTTAAATTTGGACCGAGGAAGTACTTGCTCGAGTATTTTCGTATTACAGTTGGTTGAGGAGGAGAGAGCCTAGAGCCATCAGTTCCCCCCTTCACCAATCCTCCACCATACACAAATACATTTTG